TTGCCTTGTTTGGGCCGGCCCCACAACAATCCAGCAGGCAAGGGCTGGTTTTTTATGGGCTTTAATCGAGACAGGGATACAGGTGTGGGTTGTGAAGCCAGGGAGCGAAGGCTGCTGCGGTGCAGGGGGGCCAGGTGGGGCAGGGTGGTCACCAGCTTGCGGTGCTGTTGGGGCTCGGGCTGGCAGCGGCTGGTGGCTCTGCCTGCAAAAGAGGAGGGGTGAGCATGGTTGAGCTGTGGGAGCCAGGTAACACACAGGGCGGCCATGGGCCTCACACTGAGTGGGTAGGCACCTTACAGGCTGGGTGGGGGATCCCCAGCCAATGTGAGGAGAGCAGCAGCCCAGGGAAGGGTTGTGGAGGGGCTGGGGGCTCTGTGGGGTGATGTGGCTTTAAGCATCCCCATACCACCTGGCAGGGCTGGTCTGAGCTCCAGTGAAGGCAGGACTCACCTAAGCAGCATCTGCCATGCATTTGTCTGCAGGAGGAAGAAACAGGGAGATCAGCTCCTCTGGGGGCTGTGGGAACTCAGCCCCCTGATGGATCCTGAATGGGGGCACCCCATGGCTGGCCTCATAGAGAAGCAGGGACAAGCCAGGAGGCTCTCCTTCTCAGTCCCCCTGTGGTATCTCACCCCTACTCCCCGACACCATCCCTGCACTCCCAGTCTCACCCGTCTGGGGCAGGATGAGGATCTCGTCGTCTGTCAGGCCCAGCTCCTTGGAGAACTGGGTGAACCTCTCCAGGCGTTCAGGACTCAGCTCCTTTGTCCGGCCTGCAGCCAAGAGCAGGGTGAGAGGCAGTGCCCCCATACCCACCAGCACAGGGCACAGGCAGCCCTGCAAGGGGGTCCTGACCCAGCCATCATCCCCCCAAGGTCACCCCAGCTTGGGAAATGACCCTAACCCTGCCCTTCTATCATGGAAAAGACAGCCATCCGGGGGGCATGGACAGCACGGGGGTCCCGGGGCAGACGTACTGTAGAGCAGCACCATGGTGGAGGAACCAGTGCTCTTGGAGATCTGGGTGGCCACCAAGGCGTACTCCTCATAGTTGGTCTCCACCACATGGATGTTGTGCTTGCTGCCCCAGCCTGTGGGGAACATGGGGCACAGCTGAGCCCTGAGCTCCAAATCAGCCACAAGGCAGGAGCAGGGTCAGCAGGGCTGTGAGCACATCCGGGGCTGCCCCACGGAAGCTGGGCACTCACGTGGGCTGGTGTAGATGAACCGCCCTGGCTGCTCTGTCTTGGTGTAAAGACTGTTCCTCGTCACGCACTGGTCACCCCTGGGAAGCAGAGCAGCAGAGGATGCACCAGTGGCCACTCCCAGTACCCCCTCCCCACTCCCCCTCTCCCCAGGCCCCATACTTGGGGTAGGTGGAGGTAACTTCCAGGTTCCCCTCTGCAGTGGTGGAGATGATGGTGGTGCACATCTTCATCAGGGGCCTCTTCTCCTTGAACCAGTTAGAGTTGGAGGCCAGGCCAATGCTGTACCATCTCCCTGTGAGCTGCACACAACCTCCACTCAGCCCCAGCTGGGCACAGACCCCCTCTCACCCCTCAGCCCCCACCAGCCCCAGCCCAGGGCACTTTCCTCTATCCTGGCAGCCCATTCCCTACAGCAGGATAGTGTCCCAGGGTCCTCATTTCACAGGGAGCTGCTACAGGTCTTGGCAACCACAAAACCCCGGAACAAGGAAATCCCTGTTTAATGACATGTCCTTCACTGCCCTTGGGTGTTCCCTTCCTCTTCACCCCAAGCCCAGGGAGTGTGACAGGACTGCCTGGCTCTGAGATACCATTCCCATCCATCTGGGGGTGTGAGGATGGGTCAGGACACTGGGGCCAGCATGGCTCATTCCAGTCTGGTGTATGGAGCCAGCAGTGTGATACCACTGAGGGGAAGTGCCTGCCTTGGAGAGCAGCTGTGCTGGGATCACCCTTGCAGCACATCCCAAACCCCTGTCCTTGCAGGAAGTGCCTCCTGCCATCCCCATCACCTCCCTGGGGTGGCTATGTCCCCCAGGACCTTTCCAGGGGAGAAGGGATGTAGGGGATATCCCAGCACAGCAGCCCTTGTTTTTCTGTGGCCCAGGGCTGGGGTCTTTGGTGGGGAGGGTTTCCCATGGCCCCATCTCTGTGCTGTCAGACTGAGACTGTATTTCTCACTCTCCCCTGTAAGATCCCTGTGCATCCACACCCACTGCACAGCACAGCAGCAGCTCGGACCCATGCCTAACCCAGCCCCTCAGCCTGGAGCCTTGGTGCTGGATCCCTTCCAGAGCCACCCAACCCAGGTGCTGGGAGGTCCCCAGGATGGGAGGCTGCATGTGCACCAGTGCAAGCCTGGCCCCCCACCCACCTGCACCACCCCCTCCCCACATTTTCAGGGCAAGAATCCCCCAAAACACCCCAAACCTCCAGAGAGGTGATACCGGTTGGCCTGGGTCACCTTGTCCTGCTGGAAGTCAGCCTGGACAGGAATGCTGTCCTGGGCGTGCAGTGTCCCGAGCAGGGCCAGTCCCAGGATGCTGAGCAGTGTGGTCTGCATGGCAAAAGCGAGCCGAGCCGAGAGCTGAGAGCTGGAGGCAGACACTGCAGTGCTGGAGAGTTTGTCGAGCCCCTATTTATGGTCAGGCGTTGTGGGGCCCCCGGGCAGCCAGCCCTGCCTCCCCCCGTGCCGTTATGCAAGCTGGAGCAGAGGACAGAGCGCTGAAGCCAAAGGGCAAGCAGGGGATCCTGTGAATGCTTCCCTCCTGTTGATATGACATATTTGCTCCAGGGTGCCAAACTCCTCTGCAGTGAAAACAGCCAGCGGCCAGCACAGTGGCCGCCCTGCCCCCAGCACGGCCGGGCTAGGACAGGGAGCAGCCCACGGAGAGGCTGCCTGCCCAGAACTGCCCATCCACACAGGGTGGCCTCACTCGGACCCAGAGGGACTTCAGTGAGATGCAGGAAATGTCCAGTGCCTGCCAGGTCCCAACCCAACCCACAGGACTTGACACCTGTGTGTGCTCCTGCAGGACACCCTTGCTTTGCCTTGACTCAAGCACCTGCATCACCCAAGGAAGTATCTCTGCTGGCCTTGGCACCCTCGGGGTGCGTCCCACTGGAGAGCCGGGGAGCCCCACGTTCAGCTCCCTGGGGACCAGCATGCGCCAGATGCACCCTAGAACTTGACACCCCACCCGCCCCACCACCCTGCACCCTTTGACAAGAGGGGCTGGAGATGCCCTCCCCCTTGGTTTGGGGTCACCAGTGGGTGCTTAGGTGCCCCCTCAATCTGGGGACGCCCTGCAGGGTGAGGGCAGGGGATGTATGCTGGGTGCCAGCAGCAATGCCCATGGTCTGGCAGGGTTTGGGCAGGGCTGGCCATGCCGGGCAGAGCCCCAGCCCCGTGGCGCAGCCCTGCCAAGGTGCTTTACGTAAGGAGCATGTTTTCAGAACAGCTGGTTTTCCCCTGGCAGCCCCCCCTGCACATTCCCTTCCCCGCGCCCTGCTGCGAGGCCGCCCTGCCCTGCACACCCCGCGCCTGCCCGGCCCCGCGGATTTATGAAAACAAAACAAAAGCTGAGCAGGCAGGGCTGGACATCACGAGAGCCTGGCTGGGGCCTCGTATGCTGGGCTGGGGCTCAGGCTCCCCCGGAGCTCACCCTCAGGGTGCTGGGGGAACTCTCTCCACTGGGCACAGAGGCAGGGAACACCCGGGGTGTCACTGGCACTGCGGCAGGAATACAAAGTCCCCCCTGCTGCCAGGTACCCCCAGCCCCCTGCCCAGGTGCCAGGAAGGGGTGCCCGATGGATATCCGGGTGGTGCTCGGCTGTCCTGGGGGTCACAAAGCTGGGAGCCCGCCCAAGGACCTGGGTGGCAAAGCTGGAGCTTTGGGGGCATAGGGGAACACCAAGGGGGGTAAGGGGCAGAAAGAGCAGGGCTGGGGGCAGGACTGACTGTCTGGGCTGTGGGTCCCCGCGGGGGCTGGACACAGACCCTTGGGCACAACCTGGGTATTTGCACCCAGAAATGGTTTAGCCCCAACGACGGATGGGCTGAGCTGACATGAAGGGTGTGGAGAATCCTTGGGGACCAGCCCAGCTCCCCGGGCTCTCCCCTTACTCCCTTATTCCCCTGTCCGGTGCAACCACTTCGGGGTGCAGGTAAAATGAGCTGGATCCACCACAGCCCAGCTCTGTCAGGCTCGGGGGGCGGCTGGCTGGTGGGAACAGGGGCTGGCTGCGGGCACAGCACGTGGCTCCCTTACATAATTCCCAGAAAAACAACATGTGTTACCAGTTCCCGCTAGGATTGCAAAATGCTGGTGCCGGGGAAAGAGGGCTGCTCCCCCCGCCGGGGCTGGGGGGGGACGGGGCCCGCACCTGCCTGGCCTGGCCGCTCCCCGTCCCCTCCTGGGGCACCGCTGGCCTGCAGGGTGTGGCAGCACGGCCTTGGCCAGGTGCCACGCACAGGGAGAAGGGGTCGGAGGAGGGGCTGCAGCACTAACCCTGCAGCCCCCCCAGTCCCCTGCCTGTCCCTCTGAAAGGGGCTGGCTGTGCAGGCAGCAGCCCTCGGGGAATGAACTCTGCAGGGCTGGGGCAGGGGAACGGGGTGTTTCCCAGCCCTGGAGATGGGAAGCAGGATTGTGGGACTAAGATTTCCTCCCCTGGGGTCCCTGAGTGATCTCCCAGCTTGTTGGGGGAAAAGGTAGATGCTGTGCTGTCTCTCAGAGCCCCATGCTCCCTGCAGCCCCAGGCACGGTGCTGTTCCCCTGTGCTGGGCCCTCCCTTGCCACTGCCAGCTGGACCAGGAACCACCACTGCTGTCCCATGGCTGAGGAGGGCTCACAGAGATGGCAGGGGTCTGCATGGAAGGGGGCTGCACAGCCCCCCACCACCCCTGTGGCATCCCCCAGCCAGGAGCACGTGTCCAAGGCACCGGCAGCCCATGGTGGAGGCAGTGCTGGCCTGGCTGGGGCTGACCAAGAGGTGACTGGACTGTACACAGGCTCTTCTCTGAGGCGTTTATTGGGGTGTTGCTGGCTCCTGCAGGAGAGTGGGGCACAGAGCAGAGGGGGGACACAAGCTGGGGGCACAGGACAAGGACAGACGCAGCTGCCAGCACAGCTGGAGGGGCTGAGGTGCTCAGGTCGTGTGGCCATGGGCAGCTGGCTGAGGTGAGGGCTGAGCTCTGGGACCCCTGGCAACTCCATCTGCACCTACAGCTTCGTTTCTGGAAGGAAGAGAAGTGCTGAGGGGCTGGGGGTGGGGGGGTGTCCATGCCCAGCACCAGGGCTGCAGACCTACCTCTGCCTTCACAAGCACCAATAACAAGTGATGGAGCTACCCCCAGGGACCTCAGCCTTCACCCCAGGGTGTCCCTGTGCCAGGACATCTCATCCTAGATCAGCCCTCACCCCAGCAAACACCAACAAAGATCCATCAAGCCCAGTCTGACCCATGTGGGGGGTGAGTGGGGTTTGCTTTGCACAGTGTACCTGATGCCCATCCTGCGTGATGGTTTGCCACACAAGGGCACAGGCTCTGTTCTGAGGAATGGTCTGGCATGGCCTTTCCCGTGCCAGCCCAGCCCTCCCACATTCCTGGGGCAGGACCACACAGCCCCGGTGCAGCGTGGATCTGGCCCAGTGTGCCCAGCCCAGTGCCAGGACAGGGACACCCAGCTGGTGCCCAGCGTGGGGCCAAGCCTGGCACATGGGCACCCAGCACATCACCCAGCATCCCCAACTCACCATCGAGGACGTGAAACTCATCTGCAGAGTCACAAAACCCTGCAAGAGACAGAGCCCAAGGGGGTCACCTTGTCTGGGACCCAGCACCCTCCAGCCCCTGCACCCCCAGGACATTGCAGGGCACAGCCCCATCCTTGCATCTTTGTCCCTGGGGTGGCCAGAGCACTGGGACAGAACCCACACGGGTCTCCCTGAGGACCGTGTGCCACCCACCATAGGTGGGGAAGTAGTAGGTGACATCCTCACTCAGACCCACAGCCCTGACGCGCTGCTCGAACTTGTCCACGATGGCGTCGCTGACCAGGCTGCTCCGTCCTGCGTGGGGGAGACACCCCCAGTGACCTCAGGCCCTACCTGGCCCTGGCCCAAAGCCCCCACGGCCCTACACAAGGTCAGGGCCCAGGGGACTTTCAGCTCAAGAAGTGGGTTTCCAGTTCCCCCCTCACGCGCTCCCCACAGCATCTGGGAACGAGTCTCCAGCAAGGAGTGAGCCCCATCCCAATGCTGAGTCCTCCAAGCTTCTCTCCAGAGTCCAGCACAGGTTTCCCACCCCTGTGCTTCACCTGCCATGAGACGCCGAGCCCAGCCTACCATAGAGCTTAACAGAGATGCTGCGGCCCTTCTGGTAATAGAGGATGGCGAAGCTGCTGGGGTCAGCCTCACCCACCACCACATCCACTTTGCTGCTTTTCCTGTGGCCTGGGAAGGACGAGAGGATAGCCCAGTTAGTTCCAGTTAATCCTGGTTAGCCCCAGCATCATCCAAGGGCTTCATTTCCCCACAAGCCAAGTGTACAGGGGGTGAAAATCAGAGCCAGAGTGGGACAACCCCACAGGCACCAGCCCATGGTGTCATCTGTGATGGCATCTGGCACTTAGGGACCCAAGACATAAAATCCTGGGAGTGCACTGGAAAGAGGGACGTTGGTACCAGAACCCTGCTGAGAGCAGGACTGGGGGACTCCAGCAGCCTCCTGCCACCTCAGATCAGTCTCCCTCACCCTTCAGCAGGAAGTGTCCAGGAGCCTGGGCGGGAAGGTAGTGCTGCCTGATTTCCCAGCACATCCTGTCCCTGCACGGGAAGAGGAGGAGGGGGAGATGTCAGTACAGGCTGTGAAGGATCTTCCCAGATCCCTGGCCGCCCTGCCTACCAAGGCACACATGCTGTCTGTTTCCCTGGGACTTTTTTTTCTCCCCAGGGAAAGACATCCCAGAACACGGGGGAGACATTGTGAGAGATGCTGAGCCCAAAATCTGCTGAGCCCAAGGAGTCCCTGCCAACTCCCTGCAATGCTGAGCCCAGTCAGGACCTAAAGGCCCATCAAACACTCAGATGTGCTGAAAGTCCCCATCTTCATGCTGCCCCAAGGATAGCCCTAAGAGCCAGTCCTCGGCTGGGCAGCCTTGGAGCCATCACATGTTTCAGTTTCAACAGCCTGGCTGTCCTCTGACCAGCCTGGGCACCCCCAGCTCAGCCTGGGCACCCCCAGCTCAGCCTGGGCACCCCCAGCTCAGCCTGGGCTAATGGACGTGCACGTGGCAGGGTGTCCATCATGACCAGGGCGCCCATCCTGGCCAGGGCTTTGACTACAAAGGAGGGTATCCCACCCACACCTGGCTCTGGGGCAGCTCTGTCCTCTTTGGTCAGGACACTGGCACTGCTTTCAGAGTCCCCATCCCAGGGCACTGGTCCTGTTCCAACCCGCCTGCAGCATCCCCGTCCCTGCCCGCAGCCCCGGTGCCCGGCATCACTCACAGCTTCCTGAAGGTGCTGATGGCCAGGCTCTGCCCGTCCAGGACGGTCATTGTCACTGTCGTGGCCTCCAGCTGGTGGCTGTGCTCTGCCAGGTAGCTGCAGCGGGAGGCCATGCCGACCAGGAACCACTTCCCTGAGAGCTGCATGGCAGAGGGCTGGCACCATCTACAGGGCCACCAGCCTGGGGTGCCACCACTCAACCACCCTGAGCACCCTGCCCCTCATGTGGCACCTGTGCCCACAGGCTGCTCCTTGGGAACTGCTCCTGTTCCAGCCTTGCCCACAGGTGCCCTTCAGGTGCTGGCTGGTGGGATGGCCGGGCAGAACGAGCCTGACATGGGGACAGGCTGGGGGTGTGCAGGGCATGTCCAAGGCACCTGCCCACGGCTCACACGGCCCGCAGCACTGCGGGCACCCCAGTGCCGCACTGGGTGTGTGCTGGGCATCACACTGCACTGGGGCCCCAGCTCTCCCTGCCAGCAGAGCCCCGAGCCCAGCGCAAGCCCCGGAGCGAGGGCGGCCGCACCGGTCCCCGGCAGCTGCAGACGGGGGAGGACGGGGCTCCCTGCGAGGCTCCGGGCCCGGCGCTGCTCTGCGGGCAGCGCTGCAGCAGGGCCGGGGCTGAGCTGGGCTCCGGCTGCCCCGGCCGTGTGTGGGGGCACCGGGGGGCTCGGGCCTGGGGGCTGAGGGGGACAGTGCGGGGCACCCCTGGAGCGGACACGGCACGGGCTGCGAGGGTGGGCCTGCGGAGGAAGGGCACGGGGGACCAGCGCTGCACGGGGATGCCGGACGGGGGTGCAGGAGGACGGGCTACCAAGCCGGCTCTGGGGGGACAGCAGGGGTCGGCCGGGGCACACGGAACAGGAGCGGCTCTGCAGCCCAAGCGCGGGGCAGCGCATGCCCGCAGACCCCTCAGCCCAGCCCCTCACCTGGTGAAGGCTGAGCCCCTCTTGAGCCTTCACTCTTTCCAGCGCACTCTGGGGAGGGGGCGGCCGCCGTCTGTGCGCCCCGTGCCCCCGCGCCGCCAGGAGCAGCCCGAGGAGCAGCAGCGCCCGCAGGGCCGCCATGTGCCGCTGTGCGAGGCCGGCGTGCCGGGAACCAGCGGGGCCAGGCGGGCACGGCACGGAGCCAGGAGCCCTGCTGCCGGCTGGACGGGGTCATGGCCGGGGTCGGCGCGGGGCCGGGCCGGAGCCGGAGAGCGGGGCCGGGCCGGAGCCCGGAGAGCGGGGCCGGGCCGGAGCCGGAAGAGCGGGGCCGGGCCGGAG